GAAGAGGGACCTGCTTCATTTTAATGTGCACAGTTTTGGAATGGGATGTTCAAAAAGCACTTACAGATGTGGTGCTCAGGTGTCCACAAGCTACAGTATAGATCAGCCTTTCTCAACCCCTTTACCCCAGGGGAACAATTTAAATCATTTTCAGGTATCGGGGAACCCCTGCTAAATCGAATTTATTGGAGGTCACTGATAAAATGCCCCTTATATTGCTAGCCAGTTGAAAGAATGCCCCCCAAACAGAGTTGCTCAGAATTCAGCTATTATAGATGACTAAAATGATGACTGGATTCTTGGAGGCTTGGTGTGGTTGGTGTTTAACAGGCTCCTAATCCCAACTTTGGTACCAGGGGGAGGCTTGGTGTCGTTGGTGGTCCTCAGGCTCCTGATCCCAACTTTGGTCCAGGGGAAGGCTTGGTGTGGTTGCTGGTCCCTAGGCTCCTGATCCCAACTTTGGTCCAGGGGGAGGCTTGGTGTGGTCGCTGGTCCCTAGGCTCTTGACTCCCCAACTTTGGTCCTGGGGAAGGCCAGCTGTGGTTGGTGGACCTCAGGCTCTTGATCCCAACTTAGGTCCAGTGGAAGGCCTGCTGTGGTAGGTGGTACCCAGGCTCTTCATCTCAACTTTGGTCCAGGTGAAAGGCTTGGTGTGGTTGGCTGTCCCCAGGCTCTGGATTCCAACTTTGGTTTAGGGGAAGGCTTGATGTGGTTGGTGGTCCCAAGGCTCTTGATCCCAACTTTGGTCCAGGGGAAGGTTTGGTGTGATTGGGGTTCCCAGTCTCCTGATCCCAATTCCATGGAACCCTGGTTAGGAATGACTGGGATAGAGTGATAGATATATACTGCTCAAAGAAATTAAAAGGTACACTTTAAAAACACATCAGATCTCAATGGGGAAAAATATGCTGGATATCTATACTGATATGGACTGGGTAATGTGTTAGGAACGTAAGGATGTCCCATCGTTTGATGGAAATGAAAAGCATCAACCTACAGAGGACTGAATTCAAAGACACCCCAAAAATCAAAGTGAAAAAATGATGCGGCATCCATTTGCTGAAATTTCAATTCAGCAACTCAGAATGGTGCTTAATAGTTTGTATTGCCCCCATGTGCTTGTATGCATGCCTGACAACATCGGTGCATGCTCCTAATGAGACGATGGATGTGTCCTGGGGTATTTCCTCCCAGATCTGGCATCACTGAGCTCCTGGACAGTCTGAGATATTCCAGAGGTGTTCTTTTGGATTTAGGTCAGGTGAGCGTGGGGGCCATTCAATGGTATCAATTCCTTCATCCTCCAGGAACTGCCTGCATACTCTCGCCACATGAGGCTGGGCATTGTTGTCCACAAGGTAGAACCCAAGACCCACTGCACCAACATAGGGCCTGACAATGGGTCCAAGGATTTCATCCCAATACCTAATGGCAGTCAGGGTACCATTGTCTAGGCTGTAGAGGTCTGTGCGTCCCTCCATGGATATGCCTCCCCAGACCATCACTGACCCACCACCAAAACAGTCATGCTGAACAATGTTACATGCAGTGTAACGATCTCCACAGCTTCTTCAAAACCTTTCACGTCTGTCACATGAGCTCAGAGTGAACCTGCTCTCATTTGTGAAAAGCACAGGGTGCCAGTGGAGAACCTGCCAATTGAATGGCAAATGGCAATCGAGCTCTATGGTGCCGGGCAGTGAGCACAGGACCCAAAAGAGGACGTCAGACCCTCAGGCCACCCTCATGAGGTCTGTGGCCTGCTGGAGGTCATTTTGCAGGGCTCTGGCAGTGCTCATCCTGTTCCTCCTTGCACAAAGGAGCAGATACTGGTCCTGGGGTTAAGGACCTTCTATGGCCCTGTCCAGCTCTCCTAGAGTAACTACCTGTCTCCTGGAATCTCCTCCATAATCTTGAGACCATGCTGGGAGACACAGCAAAATTCTGACAATGGCACGCATTGATGTGCCATCCTGGAGGAGTTGGACTGCCTGTGCAATGTCTGTAGGGTCCAGGTATGGCCTCATGCTACCAGTAGTGACACTGACCCTAGCCAAATGCAAAACTAGCGAAAAACAGTCAGAAAAGATGAGTAGGGGAAAAAATGTCAGTGGCCTCCACCTGTAAAACCATTCCTGTTTTGGGGGTTGTCTCATTGTGGCCCATCTAGTGCACCTGTTGTTATTCTGATAAACACCAAAGAAGCTAAAACTGATTAACAACCCCCTCTGCTACTTAACTGACCAGATCAATACCCTAGGAGTTTCATTGACTTTTGATGCTAAACTGATTAAAAAATGTTCCTTTATTTTTTTTGAGCAGACAAGATAGATATATAGATACTGTAGATACGACAGATAGATAGATAGATAGATAGATACTGTAGTTCAGGGGCGGACTGACCATTTGGAAACTCGGGCACTGCCTAAGGGCCCGGGGTCAGTAGGGGGCCCCATGAGATGCCCCTGGTACCTTTTTCATAGGCTTTTTTGAGTCTGGGCAAGGACACAGGGGCCCCATGATCCCCTATTGCCCGGGGGCCCCATGAGTTGTCAGTCTGCCCCTGCTGTAGATAGATAGATAGATAGATAGATAGATAGATAGATAGATAGATAGATTGATTTACCCCATATACATGATGACACATTTTGTTACATTTTTCAGTGTATGTAAAAAGTATGGATGTGAGAGAATCCATTGTTTTCAGGAGAGCTCAACCCCAGCATCACAGTCTGTCTGAACATGCACATTATTACACGTTGGTACAAAGTGCGCTAACACGTGTTGTGGTGTGAACGAGCCCTGGGAGTAATCAGTGACATGAGGGAGCTGAGGATTAATAAAACAGGACTTAAGGGGAGGAAACGGTGGCTAGATGTGAGACACTCTAGAAAAGCGAGTGTTTAAAAAACAAGGCTGGTGTACTTGAAATGATAGCTTTCAAATGCGTGCTTCATGCAATGAAGATTAGAAGGCCACAGAACTGTTCAAGGTACAGAATTCCAAAGAACAAATGCAGTCATAAAGACATTTTTAAGAGCATTATAGCAATAGTTATAAAAGACATTTAATCTGAACTCTGGTCACATAAACTTTCATTTAAGTATATTCCTCTATAGCCACAAAGAATATAAATCCATTTTTTGCGCATTAAAGTGGATGTAAACCTCTGCTATATGCATGAGTCACTTCTGACAGTCTATGCTGACACTAGACAATCCCAAGAGATGGTCCTTCCCCTCATCCAGCACACAGCAGATGATTGACATCCTCAGCTGTGCATGTTTCCCTATGAGCCTGTGTAAAGGAGGGTGTGTCCATTCCCCCCATCGAGGTCTCAAATTATACTCAATTCCCCGCTCTATGCTGTGCAATGTGTGACATCAGATCTCCAGCCTCTGCCTTCAAGCTCAGAACTTCTGTGTAAATTCTGGACTTTGTACGGATGTATAAAAGAAAATGCTACAGATAAACAGGTACAACTTACATAGAAGGATTTGTCTTAAAGCGTTACTAAACCCACAACAGTAAAATCAGTCTGTATATGCAGTAAAGCATGCTTGTTATATTTACTGTGGAACCTAAGGGGTTAATCCTCTGCACTGGGTAAAAAAAATGATGCTTGATCCTGTCTTCTCTGATCCTCCCCTTCTTTTACTGTCCTCAATCCATCTATTGACAGAGCCTTGGAGGCAAACTGCACATGCTCAGTTGAGTGAGTATTGCTAGAGAGTTTTTTTTTTTCTTGGGAGCGTGCATGTGATCAGTACAAGGCCAATCAGTAGTCTCCAGATAGAGGGTTAGGGATCCTTCAGCCTCATAGGGACAATCCAGGATTGTGGACCTACTGTGTGGTCTGCATGTAGGTGGAGCCCTAAGAAGGGTCTAAGGAGCCACCTGGTATTCACCAGTGCACTCTTCAGAGTGGCTCCCAGAAGCTGACCAGAGAAATAACCAGAGCAAAGTACAAAGTGGATGGATAACTGGGGGACAGGAACTGGTACGCAGAAACACAGGAACTCAGGGCCACACTGGAAATCAGGAATCCTGGAACTCAGGGACCCTGGGTGATATAGGAGTCACAAGAGAGCGTGGGGTCATAGGATTGCACAGGGTGACAGAGTCTCTGGAGGAACAGGAATGCAGGAGAGGCACAGGAAATACTAGTGGCACAGAAATCACTAAAAACACCCTATCATGGGACCACTGTCACAGCCAATCACAATGCAGCCATACAACAAGAAAGAGTGGAGTCGCACAATGAATATCAGCCTAATGATAAGTCATGTGGAGATCAGCATCGGCTAGTCACCTCCCATATATCCAGCACCTCCGACGCGTTTCAGCCTCCCGCGGCCTTAATCATAGAGCCCATGGGAGGGTGATATGCATCAGAGGGGTGTGGCACATGGGAGGAGACTAGTTGAAGCTGATCTTCATATGACTTATTAGGCTGCTACTTAGTTTATGGTTTTCTTGTTGTGCAGCTCTCCCATGGAGACTCCCATGGAGACCGATTCATCTCGGAGCATCAGCACCTAAAGTTTAGGAGTCAGCAGGTCGATAAACACAACAACTTGGAACAGTATATTTTCTGTATGGGATCTCAGTCAATCACAATGGGCACATGATTGCTGATCCTTCTTTACCCCTGGCATACAAACCCTATTAAAGGGATGTGGGGCTGGGTGGAAAAGGATTAAAAAGAAAGGTAGATTAAGAGGCTGGGTGCGGAGTGAAGCTTGCTATATAATTCAGGAGGTGAGATACTGCGACTCCTATAGTTCCCAGTCCTGTGCAGAGACAAGTAAAAGTGTTACTAAACCCAGCATTCACAATATCTGGTCTCCCCGAACCCTGCATTTGCGATATCTGGTCTCCCCGGACCCTGCATTCGCTATATCCGGTCTCCCCGGACCCTGCATGCACTTTATCTGGTCTCCCCGGACCCTGCATTCACTATATCCGGTCTCCTCGGACCCTGCATTCACTATATCTGGTCTCCCCGGACCCTGCATTCACTATATCTGGTCTCCCCCCGGACCCTGCATTCACTATATCTGGTCTCCCCGGACCCTGCATTCACTATATCTGGTCTCCCCGGACCCTGCATTCACTATATCCGATCTCCCCGGACCCTGCATGCACTATATCTTCTCTCCCCGAACCCTGCATTCACTATATCTGCTCTCCCCGGACCCTGCATTCACTATATCTGCTCTCCCCGGACCCTCCATTCACTATATCCGGTCTCCCAGGACCCTGCATTCACTATATCTGGGTCTCCCTGGACCCTGCAATCACTGTATCTGGTCTCCCAGGACCCTACATTCACTATATCTGGTCTCCCAGGACCCTGCATTCATTATATCTGGGCTCCCCGGACCCCGCATTCACTATATCTGGTCTCCCCGGACTCTGCATTCACTATATCCGACCAAGTCGTAAAGTTCACCCCATATAAAAGGCGAAACTTCTGTTCCTTCCAGGCCACGGCTCATGCGCATATTCTTTTCGGAAAAATTATCATACGATTTGACCATCATTGAGTGGAAAATCGGTAATTTTTCATGAATTTTCCAACATGCTCGATCACCGAAAAGAGGAGGAACCATGAAAATCAGCCGGTGCCATTGACAAACTAACAGAGCGAAAATCAGCCGATTATTCTTAGGTCTGATTTTCGGACGAAAAATCAGTCAAATTTCAAGCCATGTGTGGCCGGATTTGATGAATTTTTACTCCTTCCCCATTCTATACAAAAGTACAAAAAAAATTGTCTGGAGTTCGGCAATGCAGCAAGGTGAAAATCTCCTTACATAAGAATGTCTCTTCCCTGCGCTCTCTTTTGCAAACTACCCTTTGCTGCAAAGTGACAGGTGCACTTTAATGTGACAATTTATTACTGGTATAAATGAATAACATTCGAAGTAGCGGATTCACCGTGATCTTGCATAGCTATTCTGTGTTCAGGTCATAAGGGAACAGAAAGTCATTTGTGGAATCTCAGCAGACCCAGAAAAGGAATTAAAACTGTAATTAACATGCAATTACCAAGGTAAAATATCGTCATTTCCAAGGATGTAAAAAAGAAAAAAGAAGCAGTGGAAAAATAAATAAATAAATAAATAAATCAGCTATGTGTAATGTTATGGTATCTACAACAAGAGCAAGCAGGGGCGGACTGACCATTTGGAAACTCGGGCACTGCCGAGGGCCCGGGGTCAGTAGGGGGCCCCATGAGATGCCCCTGGTACCTTTTTCATAGGCTTTTTTGAGTTTGGGCAAGGACACAGGGGCCCCATGATCCCCTATTGCCCAGGGGCCCCATGAGTTGTCAGTCCGCCCCTGGGAGCAAGAACGTTTTTATATTTACACATCTAAGGGGCTGCAGAGGTTTCAGAGAACCTGCCGGAAATGGGCATTTTTTAAGAATTTGGATTTATACTATGAGGTCTCATTCACACAGGCAGACATTGCTAAGTTTCCTGTCCATCTAAACGCAGCACTATAGTAATCAATGAGCCAATAAACACAGTCGCATGTTCATGATAAAAACGTGCTTTTTGCATTAGCCAGGCACAAAAAAAGTAGGACACCTCTGCGCAGGGGCGTCCCTAGTGTTGGTGTCACCCGGTGTGATAATATTTGGTGACACCCCCTCTGACGATCCCCGCAGGATGGTTCGGATCTGCAGATTGAGCATGATGGATCAGATTCCGATCCATTATGCTCCCCACTCCGCAGATCCGATCCATCCTGCGGGGATTGTCGGCTTTCTTTACAACTTACCTGTTCGTGGAGCGGGTCCGGTGTCACCCCGTATAGGTTGCATGCCGACGATCCCCGCAGGATGGATCGGATCTGCAGTTTGGGGAGCGTAATGGATCGGAGTCCGATCCATTATGCTCAATCCGCAGATCTGATCCATCCTGCTGGGATCGTCGGCTTACTTTACAACTTACCTTTTCGTGGAGCAGGTCCGGTGTCACCACGTATAGGTTGCATGCCGACGATCCCCACAGGATGGATTGGATCTGCAGTTTGGGAAGCGTAATGGATCGGAGTCCGATCCATTATGCTCAATCTGCAGATCCGATGTGCAGAATTGGATCGCATAGGTGTGAATGCCCATGCGATCTGATTCTAGTGTGGACCCAAAAAAAGGGGTCCTGCACGTTTTTGGTGCGGATGCGGTGCGAATAGAGCCATACGAAATGTATGGCTCAGAGGCAGACTGACCATTTGGAAACTCGGGCACTGCCCGAGGGCTGGGGTCAGTAGGGGCCCCATGAGATGCCCCTGGTACCTTTTTCATAGGCTTTTTTGAGTTTGGGCATGGACACAGGGGCCCCATGATCCCCTATTGCCTGGGGGCCCCATGAGTTGTCAGTCCGCTCCAATCGCACCGCACACAAATTTGCACAGGAATACGGTGCTGTTCCTGTACGAATCACATGCGATATACCGCACCATATATATGTGAACCCGGGGGAAATGAACATATGAAAGTGATGGGAGGAACTGGCAAGCAAGGGGTTAAGTCCTACCACCCGCTACTTTCTTGCTAATAATAGCGAAGACAAATGAATGGGGCTGGGTGAGTGCGGAAGAAGAGCCGACACATTACAGCTGATAGAAAATAGGGCAGAGAAGGCTATCTAGTTTAAAGGGACACTAATAAATGATACGCCTGTGTCGTATTTATAGAGAACTAGAGCTGCTTCTCCGTGTCTGCATGTTTTCTACAATGTATCAAGAGTATCGAAAGATAAAATGTATTTATTGACTTATATAGGGTATGGAGGGGTTTAAACCCCCTGGCAACAGTTCAGGGGCAGTAAAACCCCCATGGCTGAGTTGTGTTTTTACCACCCTCCCCAACTACCCCCACTCCTTTAGCTGCCATCAGGGGCATACACATACCGCATCTGTGATGCTTTACTCAGGGGCGGACTGACCATTTGGAAACTTGGGCACTGCTGGAGGGCCCGGGGTCAGTAGGGGGCCCCATGAGATGCCCCTGGTACCTTTTCATAGGCTTTTTTGAGTTTGGGCAAGGACACAGGGGCCCCATGATCCCCTATTGCCCGAGGACCCCATGAGTTGTCAGTCCGCCCCTGGCTTTGCTTCACACAAGCAGTAGGAATGATTCCCCCTGTAACTTTTGGAGGTTGAAACGCCTGCCGAGCACAAGCCACTCATGAGAATGGGGCCACTCTGCAAGCGCCCCACAACCACATGCAATGCATGCAGTTGCACTGTGCTAGTGTGGATCTCAAGGGGTTAAAGCAGGCAGTGAGAAGACGATGCGCCTGCCAAATGCTCTCTGAAGAGTGATCCAAATGTGGATTGCTCTTCAGAAAGCAAAGCAAGTGTGGATAAGTCCTTAGACAGTTGTCAGTGGATGCACATGTACGGTGGCTGGGTGTGAGGCTGAAGGCACGCTATGTGCGGTGGATGGCGTTTTTCTGCATTGTAAAACACTGATCCCCACAAGGACACACAGATAACAGTTGTTTCCTGTGTGTCGCGTTCACACTGCAACGCAGCCCAGAGCTGCACTGCAGTGAGCTGCAATAAAATGCAGACATTCTATAACATCGCACCATACAAGATCGCATGTCACTGTACAGCTGTGCAGCACATCCAGCTGCTGTACAGTGACATGAATGAAGTATACTTTTGTGCACTTCAATTAAAGTTCAGTGAGAAAAAAAGGGAGCCGTGTGAAGCGCTGAATTACGCACCACACTGCCCCCTACTGCAGCCAGAACGGATAGCTGCCAGAGAAGAACCAGTAACGGTCTATGTGAATAAGCCTTTAAAGTGTTACTAAACCCACAACAGCACAGTCTGTATATGCAGTAAAGCATGCTTGTTATACTCACTGTGGAACCCAAGGGGTTAATCCTCCGCATTGTGTAAAAGGGCTGTTTGATCCTGTCTTCTCTGATCATTCCCTTCTTCCAGTGTCCCCCTCTTATCATGTGGAATCACTCTGCACATGCTCAGTTTGGTGTGTATTCCTAGAGAGGTTTTTTTTTTTTTCTTGGGAGAGTGCATGTGATCAGCACAGGGCCAATCAGCACTGTCCAGACAGAGGTCAGGGGTCCTGCATCTTCCTATAGCAGTATGAAAACTCTTTCTACAAGCTTTAACATGTGCCAGGCTGGACACTGATAGAAGTCACAAGACTGCTATATACTGCTGATGAGAAAAGGTATTTAGCAGTTTATATTTATTAAAATAATTGCATTTCCATGTTCTGTGTCCTGTGGGAGACCAGAGATAGTGAATGCAGGGTCCGGGGAGACCAGATATAGTGAATGCAGGGCCCAGGGAGACCTGATATAGTGAATGCAGGGTCCGGGGAGACCGGATATAGTGAATTCAGGGTCCGGGGAGACCGGATATAGTGAATGCAGGGTCCGGGGAGACCAGATATAGTGAATTCAGGGTCCGGGGAGACCGGATATAGTGAATGCAGGGTCCGGGGAGACCAGATATAGTGAATGCAGAGTCCGGGGAGACCAGATATAGTGAATGCAGGGTCCGGGGAGACCAGATATACTGAATGCAGGGTCCTGGGAGACCAGATATAGTGAATGCAGGGTCCGGGGAGACCAGATATAGTGAATGCAGGGTCCGGGGAGACCAGATATAGTGAATGCAGAGTCCGGGGAGACCAGATATAGTGAATGCAGGGTCCGGGGAGACCAGATATAGTGAATGCAGGGTCCGGGGAGACCAGATATAGTGAATGCAGGGTCCGGGGAGACCGGATATAGTGAATGCAGGGTCCGGGGAGACCAGATATAGTGAATACAGGGTCCGGGGAGACCGGATATAGTGAATGCAGGGTCCTGAGTTTAGTAACATTTTAAGGCCCACCTGCACTGTTACTGCAAATACAGTATGTACATGGCCATCGGCAAGTTAACATGTTAAAGCCTATATGACATTTTAACATTCGAGTTTTCATCTGGGGGGAGGGCCTCGAAATCAGACAGTGCATGTTTGGGGTCAAGCATCAACCTCTGCACACCTGTCAAATCAGGTTGTGTGGTTGTGTCTATACAGCCGCTGTGTCCCCCATAGAGCAGTGGTCTCCAAACTGCGGCCCAGGGGCCAGATGCAGCCCTTTGCTTGCTTTTATCCGGCCCTTGGGGCAATATTCCTCCCACTGACACCAACTATGGGGCACTATTCCTCCGACTGACACCAACGATGGGGCACTATTCCTCCCCCTGACACCAATGATGGGGCACTATTCCTCCCACTGACACCAATGATGGGGCACTAGTCCTCCCACTGATACCAATGATGGGGCACTATTCCTCCCACTGATACCAATGATGGGGCACTATTCCTCCCACTGATACCAATGATGGGGCACTATTCCTCCCACTGATACCAATGATGAGGCACTATTCCTCCCACTGATACCAATGATGGGACACTATTCCTCCCACTGACACCAATGATGGGGCACTATTCCTCCCCCTGACACCAATGATGGGGCACTATTCCTGCCACTGACACCAATGATGGGGCACTAATTTAAATGTTAACCGCGCTCTAATATCCACAAAACGAATAAATCAAAAGTGCTATGTGCTTATAAATAAATAAAATATAAAAATAAATGGTGTATCATGATTGAAATTTGTGAAAACAAATGAATTAATATTAAACGTAAGTAATTATATAAAATAATGCATATCATATTATTACATCACAAAATATGCAATCCTTATGACAATGTGCTAATTTCCCTCAGTGAATAACATGTCATTTGATAAATGAAATTAAAAAGTGGATGAAAAGTGATAAATAAAAAATATATAAGAAATAATAAAAAATATTAAATAAATAAATAATAATCAAAAAGTCTCTGGATAAACGACAATTTTATCCCACTGTGCAAAATGAATGTCCAGCTTGGATGGATATACTCTCCTTCTGAAGATCTGATCTTTGCTGTGGTGTTGAGAACCTGTGTGGCTGCAGGACTGTGAGGGATACTCCCTTCTTTGATCCACTCCTTAGTCCTCTCCCTTTGTGTCACACATCATCCCCCGGACGAATCTACGATATCCCTGTAGCGCAACGCGTTGGGGAGGGGCAGTGACGTCATTGTGCAAACTAACAACGATACGGCGAGTACTGAGGGTGTGTTGACACACACCGCTCGTTTGATTCAGCTACAAGCTGCGGGACATTTTATATATATACAAAGTGCTTTTGATACTTTTAAAATGTGAGTGCAATAGAGAAGCACAAAAAAAGTCTGTTTTACCCCTGGGATAAGGCACCATATCTTTTATTCCTTTTCTTACATGTTATACACGAGGAATACAAAGGCAGAGGACTAAGGAGTGGATCAAAGAAGGGAGTATCCCTCACAGTCCTGCAGCCACACAGGTTCGCAACACCACAGCAAAGATCAGATCTTCATATAGAAGGAGAGTATATCCATCCAAGCTGGACATTCATTTTGCACAGTGGGATAAAATTGTCGTTTATCCAGAGACTTTTTGATTATTATTTATTTATTTAATATTTTTTATTATTTCTTATATATTTTTTATTTATCACTTTTCATCCACTTTTGAATTTCATTTATCAAATTACATGTTATTCACTGAGGGAAATTAGTACATTGTCATAAGGATTGCACATTTTGTGATGTAATAATATGATATGCATTATTTTATATAATTAATTACGTTTAATATTAATTCATTTGTTTTCACAAATTTCAATCATGATACACCATTTATTTTTATATTTTATTTATTTATAAGCACATAGCACTTTTGATTTATTCGTTTTGTGGATATTAGAGCGCGGTTAACATTTAAATAAATTTTTTTAAAACGCACATCAGAAGAGAGTGGGCTCATTAACCAGCGATCTAGTGCTAATACCCTCATAACATACCTCAGTGGCTCGCAAGCTAATTTGTTTGTAATGATGGGGCACTATTCCTCCCACTGACACCAATGATGGGGCACTATTCCTCCCACTGACACCAATGATGGGACACTATTCCTCCCACTGACACCAATGATGGGGCACTATTCCTCCCACTGATACCAATGATGGGACACTATTCCTCCCACTGATACCAATGATGGGACACTATTCCTCCCACTGATACCAATGATGGGACACTATTCCTCCCACTGATACCAATGATGGGACACTATTCCTCCCACTGATACCAATGATGTGGCACTATTCCTCCCACTGACACCAATGATGGGGTATTATTCCTCCCACTGATACCAATGATGAGGCACTATTCCTCCCACTGATACCAATGATGGGGCACTATTCCTCTCACTGACACCAATGATGGGGCACTATTCCTCCCACTGATACTAATGATGGGGCACTATTCCTCCCACTGATACCAATGATGAGGCACTATTCTCCCCACTGACACCAATGATGGGACACTATTCTTCCCACTGACACCAGTGATGGGGCACTATTCCTCCCACTGATACCAATGATGAGGCACTATTCTTCCCACTGACACCAGTGATGGGGCACTATTCCTCCCACTGATACCAATGATGGGGCACTATTCCTCCCACTGATACCAATGATAGGGCACTATTCTTCCACTGATACCAATGATGGGGCACTATTCCTCCCACTGATACCAATGATGGGGCACTATTCCTCCCACTGATACCATTGATGGGGCACTATTCCTCCCACTGATACCAATGATGGGGCACTATTCCTCCCACTGATACCAATGATGAGGCACTATTTCTTCCCACTGACACCAGTGATGGGGCACTATTCCTCCCACTGATACCAATGATGGGGCACTATTCCTCCCACTGATACCAATGATGGGGTACTATTCCTCCCACTGATACCAATGATAGGGCACTATTCTTCCACTGATACCAATGATGGGGCACTATTCCTCCCACTGATACCAATGATGGGGCACTATTCCTCCCACTGATACCAATGATGGGGCACTATTCCTCCCACTGATACCAATGATGGGGCACTATTCCTCCCACTGATACCAATGATGAGGCACTATTCCTCCCACTGATACCAATGATGGGGCACTATTCCTCCCACTGATACCAATGATGGGGCACTATTCCTCCCACTGACACCAATGATGGGGCACTATTCCTCCCACTGACACCAATGATGGGGCACTATTCCTCCCACTGATACCAATGGTGAGGCACTATTCCTCCCACTGACACCAATGATGGGGCACTATTCCTCCCACTGATACCAATGGTGAGGCACTATTCCTCCCACTGACACCAATGATGGGGCACTATTCCTCCCACTGACACCAATGATGGGGCACTATTCCTCCCACTGACACCAATGATGGGGCACTATTCCTCCCACTGACACCAATGATGGGGCACTATTCTTCCCACTGACACCAATGATGGGGCACTATTCCTCCCACTGATACCAATGATGGGGCACTATTCCTCCCACTGACACCGATGATGGGGCACTATTCCTCTTACTGACACCAGTGCTAGGCGTTGTTATCAAGGACAGGACATTTTCTACTCCCACTGGCCATGGTCTGGCCCTTCTGAAGTCTGAAGGATAATAAACTGGCCCTTTGTTTACAAAGTTTGGAGACCCCTGCCATAGAGTAATATAAGTTGCCTGCACGCAACTCCATGTGGCTGCAGCCACATAGACAAATGATGGCCCTTTTATTCTGCACAGGCCACAATTCTGCAGCTCATTACTCTGCAATCATAGAATGAATGTGAAAGGTAAAAGTAATTTTTGCAGTTTTCCATGTGTCACAGCCACAATAAAAGGTTTCATTTTTCTTTTTAGCTGAAGCAGCAGCAGACAAGAGATCACATACACGGTTTTATCTTTGCTTCTCTGCATTTTCCAAGTGCAATTGATTCCATTGGTGCCACAAACAGACAAGGGAGCCAACCAATCAATGAAACACAACAGAAGTTTAATATAAAAGTAAAGAAATTGCTTAAAATAGAGAAAAAAAAATTCTAAAAAGACAGAGTAAAATAAAATTCAGTGAATAGCAGTGTTCCTTTAAATAATCCATATGTACAAAGCCAGCCATCTTCCAGGCCCGGATCATAATTGGACATGAATCACATTGGAAGGTATTAGATGAAGGATCAGATGGATTTTAATAAAGTTTAAGTACAGTAATTTATTTGTCAGTGTCGGGATAAAAGCTCGTCAGATTTAATGGTGCCCTTCGTGAGAACCTTTATGGATTTAAATATGTACTGACAGGTGTGAGAGCCTTCGCCTCTGTACAGACAAAGATATCAGACTTCAATGGCGGCATTAAATATGATGTAATATGTCACAGAACAAAAGGAATGCAGAAGATCTGCCTATGTATATCCTTCTTTCTGGTCTATCTATGAATCAGTCAAAGATCTATCAGTCTATCTATCTATCTATCTATCTATCTATCTATCTATCTATCTATCTATCTATCTATCTATCTATCTATCTATCTATCTATCTATCTATATGTCTGTCTGTCTGCCTGTCTGTCTGTCTATCTATATGTCTATCTGTCTGCCTGTCTGTCTGTCTGTCTATCTATATGTCTATCTGTCTGCCCTGCCTGTCTGTCTGTCTATCTATCTATCTATCTATGTACCTACAGCAGTGGTATCCAAACTGTGGCCCAGGGGCCAGATTCGGCCCTTTGCTTGCTTTTATCCAGCCTATGGGGCACTATCCCCCCCCACACACACACTGTCAGCAAATAATGGGGCACTAGTCTTCTCACTGA